GTTTAGTATAAGACAGTTGTTTTGTTGGTGAATGTTGTGAGTTGTAATGGAGCCTTATTTTGTAACTTTACCTTTGTTAAATGTTGCTGTTGTTACGAAAAGTATATGAAAAGTCCGCTAGCTAGGCTAGTAAGTAAAATGCCATAGGCTTGTGCTAATAGCGTTAGCATGTTGTATTTGTGGGGAAAATGTGTCCAGATAAAGACAAGTGTTTGTCTGTGAATGCTGCGAGTTATAGTAAAGCTGATTTGTGTGCTTGTGTTTGAAATTGTCTCTACTAAGACCATGTTTGTGTGTTTAATGTGTGTTTTGAATCAGCTAAACTTTACAGCACTTCACAGAAACCCCGTCGCCGATTTGTGTTTTGGAGGTTTAACTGCAGAGTGACACAGACACACCATCACACAAGTATAAATCCCCCTGAAGACTAAATCTAATATAGCTGTCAAAATGAACACTGACCGCAAGTGACTCGCAAACGTGTCAACTCTGTAAAAAACACACTTTATTTTTAAGTACAGTGAATTTCTGGTACAAAGATTTTACTTTGAAGTGCGGTTTCCTGCTGTGGAGTGAGTGACTAACAGACAGCTACTTACAGAGCCAGCAAACTAACTTGACAACATGGCCAAACACAAGTATGGCACTGAATAAATAAAATGTGGACCCTGAACTAATGACTGAGGAGAAATCTGGACCCTGTGGCTGGATGAGTTGGGAACCTAGCTGCAGGCAAGACTGGAGATGACTGACTGACTCCCAAATTATTTATTATTAGGCATATTCATGGGAATTAATTCAGAAAAAGTTGTCAGGAAGATAGAAATGTATTGTCAGAAGAAATTATAGTTTAAAACCAAAAATGATTAGTGCATAACCAGTAACTAGTAGTAGATAGTAGATAGTAATGTGCCAGATTAGAGATCATATCGTTGCAGGTGTGAGCGCTGGAAAAAGATCATTACAACATGAGACAAAATGAAGACACATCATCCTCATCTCCTAGACATAGCCTAACCACACACTTGTGAAACAAAACACATCTCTATGATGGTTATTTGATTAGAAAACTTTATGATAACCAGGTGTTGCTTCTTGCTCTTTGCTGCAGAAGCCTTCCTCGCACCCTGTGCCCTCCTCTGCAGAGACACCCAGACTATTTTCATCAGCCACTCATTTAGGAGTTAATTTATGCTTCCAGCAGTGACTTGGGGATGTTTCTGTGTGGGCAAAAGGCCACTTTTATTACAGAATGTCTTCAAATTAATTTCGCAGGAGATTAGTGTGGATCTCACTCTTTGTATCGTCTGGTCTCACCCTGTGGAGGAGCCAAAAAAAACAGAAGGAGTGGGCTCCCTCTGCTGGTTGTTAGTATAAAAAGAACCTGTTACATCTTTGGCATACAGCGTATAAAAGATAAAGGATGAGAAAGAGGGAAAGGGGGGAAAATGGGAAGAGGAGAATCAGAACACACACACAGAGCCAATATGACTCAGGAAACGCTGGCAAAGGCGCAGACAGGACGGGATACAGAGAGAGATAGAGATAAGTCATTCTAATTTCGTGTGTTATTATTCACTTGGGATGAAAACAGCCATACATCACAGTGGTAACGCTGTCAAATAGTCCCCAGCTCTGCCATACCACTGGCAAGCTGCTTTAGTACCCAGTGCCAATGTTGTGTGAGAGAGGAGAGAGACTGAGAGATGAAGAGAGGGAATGAGAGACGCGCAGAGAGAAGGAGGGAGAAAGAAGGCGCACCTAAATAGAGTCATTCATTATTTTCACACATCAGTGGCAAATAAGTAACTTTTGGAGTGTCCAGAAATTTAAAGAAGATCTAAAAATACTTTCGCCCTTCACATACTTTTCCACAAGACCATGTGTATAATGGAAAGTGTGCATATGAATAGATGCTTGCAATGGGGGATTCTTTAATGTGGTATGTAACTAGGTACATTTACTCAAGTATTGCGCTTAAAGGGACAGTTAACCCTAAAATCAACACATGTTTTTCCTCTTATCTGTGGGACTATTTATTAGCCTAGATTGTTTTGGTGTGAGTTGCAGTGTTGGAGATATTGGCTGTAGAGATGTCCGCCTGAAGGAAGTCTCAACCTTGTGATGTCATATGCTGTGTCTGAAATCATTCACTCATTCACTCCTCCCTGCTTACAACACAGTAAGCCCATCTGCAACATGAAAAAACACTTTCAGACTTTTCTCTGCGCTGTTATTGACGTCATTGCTGTCACTTAGTTGAAACATGTCATATCCACATCGGCTGGTGAAGCATCCATAACAAATACTGACGTGTATATTTGTGATAAAAACATGAAAATATACTGAGTGTACTTTCCCCAGATTAAGAGAGTATTTTGTGTCCATTTGTGTTTTGATGCTGCTCTGCTTACTTAGACGTATTATTAATGATGTTACACTGGCAAACAAACAAGAGGAGAGACAGTTGCCTAAACCGCAAAAGAAGTACACCTAAAACGGAGTTTATTTTTCAAAAGACTGTACGCGTTTAATCAGCAAAAACTGTACATATCATTTGAGAGCTAAAGTATATTTTAAAAAGACGCAGTGCAACATGTAACAAGCATAAATTGACACGTCGTCCCTTAACGTCCAAAACTGATGCAGGATGGTACCTATATTTTGACGTGTCTGTCCACAGACATAGCGTCAGAATTTGACAAGTTGGGACGAGAATGATATGATTTTTTCAGTATCATACAATATCTGCTGGTTAGACACATCTAAAATCAGTCATCATGCTTATTTGTTATTGGTTGATTCAGTCAGAGTTCAACAAAGTTTAAGTCCACGCGATGCGATATTGCATTGCCATTGGAAACGGATGTTTTACTCGCCCTTTTGTTCACAGGTGTTAATGTTGCTCGTGTGTGATGGTGCCCTGATCCAGTCGGTGTGCTGCAGTTGGCTCCTGGAGATGGATGGCCTGGGAGCTGGGTGGTTTCTGTAGTAGTTGTTGAAGTTGTTGCTGTTTACGTCTCATTCTATCAAGCCTCTTGTCATTTAGTCTCTTACACAGACGCCGACGTCATCTGTGGACATTCCCATAGGAAAGTTGTAATAGAACTAGCGCTGGCTCCCAGTGGCAGTGATGTGATTGGATCCAAATCCGTGTACTTTCGTACTTCCTCGACCAACGGCTGATTAGCTTTGCCTTACACCTGCCTACACCGGAATTGCTGTTCAGTGCATTGCAAGAAGAGATTAAAATGGATATGATTTCATTTGATTCAGCTATATTGCAGAGATGCAACGTCCACAAGATTGGAGAAATTAAGGATTTACAGCGTGCCATACCTATAGCAACGCCGTCACGTGGTCTGGATATCCCTGCCCATTTCTATTACAAAATGAAAGACGAATGTCCCCAGACTCCCATTCCAAAGTAAGGGAGGCTGGTCACGCGAAACTACTTGTCATTGTCTAGATGCAAGCGTCCTTCTGCACAATGATACAGTTAGTGGGTGTAGTTCAGTAGAAAGAAAATAGTTCCTACATGAAACAGCTCACAACAAGGTCTGTGGATGATCTTGGGTAACTGGGTCATGATTTCTGGAGAGAGACATTGTTGTAGTTTTTCAGTTTTTTTATATTTTATTTTTTGGCACTGCAAAAAAAAAAAAAATAGATGGCACCACAAGCCTAGTGCCATCTATTTCAATTATATTTGAGAGAAGGCAGACATCTCTACGGCCGATATCTCCAAAACTTGGCAACTCACACACTGATAAATGGCTCTACAGGCAAGAGGGAAAATATGTGTTTTTGATTTTAGGGCAAACTATCCCTTTAGTTTACTTTTTGTATTTCCAGTTTACGCTACTTTATAGTTCTACCCCACTACATTTCACACGTTATTTTACTTTTTATACACTGTAAAACACACAATCAATCAAATAAAATTCTGGAAACTCTTTAACCAGATGGGAAAATGTGTATTTTGCCATCACATCACACTGATGCAAAATTCCTCTATTTCCAAGCTACCATACTGTTGCTATTGTCTGCAGTGGCCTTGTATGATACAACTAGTGAGAGATGTATGCTGTTATAAAGCCTATATAAAGCCTATAGTAAAGTCTCTACCCCTATACACTGTAGATGAAATAGGACAAACTAATAGCCTGTGGTTAGCTCGTCGTGGCACTCCTCCTCATTGTAACTGCAATGTGAGAAGCAATGAATTGGCCAATCAGCAGTCCTGTGCATTAGTATGATTGGTTGTTGAGAGCAAGGGCACCTTGGCTTTAAATTACGACACTCTGTCATCATATTTATATACAATGGGGCCTGTAACATTATCTCACCGACTTTATGATCATGTCTTGCTGATGGGTGGCTCTTCTTCTTCCTGTGGCGTGAAGGCAGTGTTGCGTCTTGGGCCGCACTGGGAGGTGCAGGTGCCGTGATGGATCATATGCTCATATTTATGGCCTGGTTTAAATTTGCGTTGACAGTGGCTGTGCACGGAGGAGGAATAAACAACGTCTTGCATACATAGGAAGGTTTTGTTTGAGGTTTGGTATGTGTGCAGATGATTGTAAAATGTCACGGCCATCTTTCTGGACACCACACGCACACATTCCAAGAAATGCATTCATATCCACAAGTTGTCTCTGCAAATGTTTGAAGAGGAGGATGAGGATGAAAATTCATGAAGAACAGATGGGTGCAGGGGGGGACAGGTCTGATTTGAGTAATGCCCATCCAAATTTATTTCCTCAAAATCTGGCGCACTGGAACATCTCTTCAGCTCTACTTCAAATACTGATTTGTGCTGCAGCACCTCTAAAGTGTCCTACACATTTACTGTTGTTAATGAGCGGGAACTCACTGTTTCTATGGTTTCTGATTAGACTGCAAGTGAGTAAGCACGAGATAAGGACTTTAGTGAAGTGAAGACAGTGCGACAGATCACTTTAATAACTCCTGTATGAATGTGCTCTCTCCCTTTCTAGCTCCATGCAATGCAGATGCCTTCTTCTGTCACAGTAACATGTGCATAAACAACTCGCTGGTGTGTAATGGCATGCAGAACTGTGTCTACCCCTGGGACGAGAACCAATGCAAAGGTGAGACGTTACTTTTTAGCACGTTAAGTGACACTAGTAGAGACTTCGTTTGAGTGTTTCAGGAAAACAGAGTGGGTTTGAGTTTAACTGCACTTTCATTATGAGCCTGATACACTCCTACTACTTGTCACTGCTGCTACTGCTATTAGTAGTAATAGATAGCAATAGATATGGCACAGTGGCACTTCTAGTATTTCCTGTCACTACAAGGTCTGCTAATAGAGGTTTTATTAGTGTTGCCTCTGTAACACCAGTAGTCGTGGCATTAAAGGGACAATTTGCTGATTTTCAACCATCTTTGTACCATATAAATGTTGGGAATATGTGTTAATGGTAAATGGACTGCACTTGTATAGAGCTTTCTAGCCTTCCGACCACTCAAAGTGCTTTTACACTACATGTCACATTCACACAGTCACACACTGGTGGCCGAGGCTACCATACAAGATGTCACCTGCTACTCAGTAACCATTCACACACACACTCACACACCGATGGAAAAGCCATCAGGAGCAATTTGGGCTACAGTATCTTGCTCAAGGATACTTCAAGATGTGGACTGGAGTAGCTGGGGATCCAATCACTGATCTTCCGATTAGTGGACGACCCACTGTACCTCCATCTTGCCCACAGATCTCCCAGCTCAAAGTTTCACATGTCCAGTCGATTTTTTGCTGGCTCTGGGGCTGTTGCTCAAACTACAGACTGTACTTCTTCATTTTTGTACACCTGCCACCAGGGACACACAGAGTATAGAAATGGATTGAGGGAGACAGCCACCTCCATACGCCGATCAAACTGGCAGGCAGTGCTGATCATATAAAAAACAAGATTCTGTCACTGTATTGCCTATTTCTCTCCTAAAATGTCTTCAGAAACAAACTTTAGTGCACTGTTTGGATGTTATTTGAGAACTTATGAACAGGAATTGGATAAAATATGAACCAAGATTCTGTTACTGCGTTGCTGATTTCCAACCTAAAATGTTATTAAAAAAACATTTTAGCTCCCTGTTTTGCTGTAATGTATGATTGTTTGCCACCAGCCGGCGGTCATATTGTTTATTGTATCAAATCGGACAAGCTTGCATTACGTTCTCAGTTTTCTGTGGTCATGTAGCACCAATTTCAGAAGTCTTTGTGTCCATCGTTCCAGCAGTGAAATACCTCTGTAACAGGGGGCACGAATATTAGAAACAGTGGTTCCTAACTGGTGGGTCATGGTCCAAAAGTGGGTCGCGGATCCATTCTGAATGGACTGCAAGTGACTTGAAAACATGTCAGGTTTATAAAAAGACACATTTTGTAAGTGTAAGTGTATAGGACAGCTTACGGCTTAGGGGGGTTGCATACAGCAAAGGGCCCAGGGTTGGCACTGAACCCACAATCGCTGTGGCAAGCGCACAGCATTTGTACATGGGGCACCTGCTTCGTCAGGTAAGCTAGTGGGCGCCACCTGTTGATATGTTTTTACAGTTTAATAATAATATTGTATTTAGGGCTGGGCGATACAGGGAGAAAATCTAAACATCACAATATTTTTTTGCCCAAATACCTCAATATCGATATTACGACAGGGTTCGACTATATATTTCACATTATATTTACACAGTGAGATTCTTTTCAAATAAATGAACATCAATAATGTGGATATAATGACTAAGCAGGTAAAGGCAGATAATAGAACAGCTAGAACAGTCTGGTAAGTTAAGAAAATTACATCACTTTACTGTAACGCAGCCTTTAAAACCAGAAAAAGGTGACACTTATGATATTAGGATATCCATAATCTAAAGCAGTATCTAGTCTCATGTCACGATATTGATATAATATTGATATACGTTTAGAATACCAGATTTAAAAGGCCAGAATTCATCCTCAACTGATCCTGGTCTTTGTCCAGGTCTTGTTTTCATTCTTAGAAGGTGCCCTTATTTTTCCCTGTTTCCATGCCTCAAGCCAGGTCCTGTGTTTTCCATCAATTTCTTCATTTCCTCTGTAGTTTGATCCCTGACTGCACTCTGAATTTTAAAGCCACTCGATCTATACATTGATCCCCAGTGTCTCGCTACTGGCAGCTCCATAATTTATCTGCACCTCTAACTGAGATTTTCTTATTGCGGCGTCTCTGTACAGTGTGTGATGCCATTCCAATAATTAGCTGAGATGTGTGAAGGGGACTCTGGGGATGAGCCAGTTTTTCTCTGCATTATATTGCCAATTAATTAGTCTTCTCTTCCTCGACCTTTCATCGCCCATCACTGTATTCCGAGCACATAAGATGAGATCTATACTGTAGCTCCCCTGAGCTGAGCCCTCTAGCACTGAAACTCCCACGTCAATAAATACAATGTGTTTTTGATGTTCATTAGGCTGTTGTGCTTGGCTTGCAGTTAAGATGTCTTCTAGTTTGTTTTTCCTTCAAACATACACACACATACTGTACACACATAACTCTCTCCACCTGTACACTTTCTCTTCGGGAAACTTCCAGCCGCACGTTACATTTAGATAAGATAGAAAAGCTTCACACAGAGATGCCTGTGTATTCTACATGGACAGCACTGTAAGTCTCTCTTAAGCTGAGCAAATGACAAATTGCATCAATTAATTAAATCCTGCACGGCCTATTCCTCACGCAGACTAAGATACCTTTTCACCCTACAGAGTTTGAAATTGTGTAGCACTCAGCAAGAAGAGGCCATGTTTCTCAGCCTGTTAACTCTGTCTTCCCGCCTTCTCTGCGCTCTAGTAACGCACAGGGCCGCTGCAGTGTCCACATTTGTCCTCATTAGTGTTAAAATGTCAAGTTTTATTCCTTTCTCCTTTACACTTCTGAATGTAACCATTAACTGTCATTGAAACTCGGTGTGCTGTGCTACATGTTCATCCAGCATTTAAATGTCACAGATCTCCCCACCCATTGCCTCCCGACACACTGTTAGTCAGTGCGTCTCTTTGTTTTCGCTCGTGATAAATAGACTATAGCTATGACACCGTGTGATCTTTTGTTCTTTTTATTCATAGCTCATGAAAGTCAAGGCCTCAGTCTTGTACATGATAAGGTCTGTTTGTTAGAGATTTCTTTACATGTGAGCTATGGTATCTCCGTCTCTGAGCTGTTGCTAAGGGAATCTTAATGGCCATTTGCTAAGCCTCACCACCCTTAGTTACTGTTGCTCTGCCTGTCCATCTCTCACATGGCATATGCAGTTGACAGTGAAAATAATGGCAGATAACCTCTCGAAATTCTCAGTAATATTTTTAAATCATGGGCCCTGGAAGACTTTTTTTTATTTTTTCTGGTGACTGTAGATTTTGTCTGTCACTGGCAGATTTTATATCTGTAGCTAGCGGGCTAAGTATGCTAACAATAGCTTTATAATTCAGGTAAAAACAAGTTACAACCTCCGACACTGAAGTGCCAAAAACTGCTTCTTGAAGCTGGATCCAGTCAGTCCCCATGGAGCCCTGTGTTAAAATGCCCGACTTTACGGCAGAAATGAACATGTTTAAAGTCTGGTACAAAAAACAGTTCTGATCTCTAGTTAATTTTAACGTTCACATTTTATCAAGGCTTAAAGTCAAGGGTGGGGCTGCTTTAAAGGGATAGTGCACCCAAAAATGAAAATTCAGCCATTATCTACTCACCCATATGCCGAGGGAGGCTCAGGTGAAGTTTTAGAGTCCTCACATCACTTGCAGATCCCAGGGGAGAGGAGGTAGCAACACAACTCCACCTAATAGAGGCTTACGGCGCCCCAGATTCAAACGTCCAAAAACACATAATTGAAACCACAAAATATCTCCATACTGCTCCACCGTAGTGATCCGAGTGTCCTGAAGCCCCGACATAAAAAGCTGATCAGAAATCTGAATCTGGGGCGCTGTAAGCCTCCATTAAGTGGAGTTGTGTTGCTACCCGCTCTCCCCTTGGATTACCGGAAGTGTTGTGAGGACTCTAAAAATTCACCTGAGCATCCATTGGCATATGGGTGAGTAGGTAATGGCTGAATTTTCATTTTTGGGTGCAATATCCCTTTAAGCAACATGCTTTCTGCCAGGAGTTGTTACAATCTAGGAGTCAGACCCACCCCTCGCTCCTCCACAGCCAGAACCTCTCATCCATACGTGGCCACTCCTGACTCCAAAAAACCAAGATGATGACAGCTAAAATGCCGAACAAAAGGGTAGTTCGTAAACCAATGGGTGATGTCACGATAGATACGTCCCTTATTTTATACAATCCACGATAAAAAAAAAACCCTGTCTGCGACTGACTTTTTAATGTTTCAAGCTGACTCATCTTAAAGAAGGACTTTGACCCAGGAGACCACTGTTCATGTCCTGCGTGAAAACAAAAGTCAACATATCTGTGTAACATACGTTAGTAACAAACTTACTTATCTTAACCCTCTGGAGTCCACGGACGTGCCAGTGCATCCAAATCACATGACCGATTTAAGATGTTGTAGTGTAGCCTCGCTGAGTCTCCGTTTCAACTTGCGTCAAAAGTGCGAACTTCAGACTATATACCAGTTTAAAATTGTGTTGATAGGCCAAGTAAAACCAGACTTAAGTAATTTACATCATGCTTTTTCCTGAATATTGTCGTCACGTTTGGTGCAGGAAGAAATGGTAAACATGAGCTATTCTAACAAATATGCTGGCAAGCAGAAAAAAAACACGACACCCCCTTTCCTATTGGTGGTGTTTTTTGTGTGATTTTAGGTCCAATGTGTTAATACAGTATGTCAAAATGAAAACATAACTGTAAAGTCACACAGGTGAGGTTGTGCTAAAAAAAAATGACACCAAGCAAGCCAGGTAAACAGTTTTTAATGTGAAATTTAAAGGTACAATCAAAAGTAGTCAAAAACGGCCAATTGTACCCTTGACCCCAAAGGGTTAACCCAAACTATGATCTTTTTTTCTAAACCTAACCAAGGGATTTTGTTAAAATCATATATTCTTTAAACGACGTCAGCCTATAAAGAAGTTAACCTAAATTGGAAGTTTATTTTGAAACAAACGGAAACTGTAAACTTCCTGTGAACGTGTACGTTTATTTTGAAAATATACTATACTTGTCATAGCATGGGTATATAAGGAGAACTGGATACAGCTTTGGGGGGGGTGCCACCTTCATTCCTATGAGAGTTGCTCAGTGGCATGAAGCCAAAAAAGTTCTCAGGTATAACATTACCTGGATCTTCCGTATCAAAGGGACCATGGAGCAGGTGCGGTAAAGACTTTCATGAGCCAAGCAGCTCACTTTAGCCAACTGAGATGCTAACTTCCAATTTAGCCCTCTGCTAATTTGAATGGGGATCAAATGATTTAATCATGTGGCTCTTTTAGAGATTCAAAATGTTGTCAGACTGAACAGATCAAATCCTGATAGTGAAACAAGTCTTTTTGCAGAGTTGTGACGCTCAGTAATATGTATCCACTGATTTACAGATGTCTCTTTCACAATGTAAGTCAATGGGAAAATGTCTTTTTGGGCCACATGGCATCACGTGATGGACCTGGAAGTTATTCCAGGGAGTAATTCTATGGTTTGGCCATGACAGAAATTGGCTTCAAAGCCTGGCAAACATGCTGGGGGCCTGGTGATGGGCGTCAACTGTCCCTGAGCTTCCAAAACTGATGCTAGAGGGGTACCTAGACTGTCATGGTCTGACGTGTAGGACCACTAATCAAGCATCTGTATTTGATGAGCTGGGAGTGAGAATGTGTTGCGGGGACAAATGGTTCGTATGCTCATTAAAGTTCTCTTTCTGTTGTGCTGTCTCTCCGCTGCTGTACAGAGAAGAGGAAAGCCAACATCCTGGACAACCTGAACAACACAAACGGGACCATAATCGGTGTCACCTGTTGCATCGTCCTCATCCTCCTCATCGTCTCCGTCATCGTCCAGATCAAGCAGCCACGTAAAAAGTACATCCTGCGGCGTGAGGACTTTGACCCCACCATGTTCCAAGAGGTCTTTGAGCCGCCTCACTACGAGCTGTGTACTTTACGGAGCGCCACCACAGCCGCGGCGGCCTCAGCAGACTTAGTCGACCTGGCGGAAGACTTTGAGAACTACCACGCCCTACGCCGTGCCTCCTCGCGCTGCGTCCACGATCACCACTGTGGCTCCTCCTCCAACCCCGGGTCCGCCCACATATCCCAGCTGTCGCTCAGCGGACGAGGAAGCCGCGGGAACTTGAGCGCCCGAGATACAGCGGCCGCCGCTCTGCTCACAGACCTTCCGCAGCCGCCAATGGCAGTGCGGCCCTTGTTGCCGTCCACCGGAAACCGCAGGAGCATCTTGGTCATGAAGCACAGCTACTCGCAAGAGGCAGCGGACAATGGATGCGACCTGGACGACGACCTGGAAGAAGTTCCCACCACCAGCCACCGGCTTTCACGCCACGAAAAGGCAGTACAGCGGTCAGTATCCATAGATTTCTGATGAGGAAAGAACAGCAACCGTAGAGTTAACTATGGGGATGTTTGAAATGTGTGTGGGATACTTAGGCCTACATTTATTTTTGTTTCCCTCTTACTTTGTTCTTCCTCTTCCTCTCATTATTTTTTTTAAGGTTATAATAAGCTTCGTTTTTTTGCATTGACCCTTGTTCTTTCTCCCCTTTCTATCACTTATTTTCACAAAGGGCTAAATTATTGTAGACGAATTTGCCCCCTCTTGCATGCTCATCCTTGAACATGTCAAGCGCCCCCTGCTAGTTCACCCCCAAATGGTGATTTATAGCGTAAACTATTAACTCTACTGTACTTTAAGGTTAATCGGAGCTCTTTAAGCTAACACAGACCTCATTTTAGACAATATTAATTCTGTGATCAGTCCAGTTTTGACTGTTAACACAAGGGCTTGAACCGGTGCCTCATAGAGTCGACTAACTTCATTGACATGAATGCAAATTACTACAAAATATGCATTTCTATTTCTAACTGTGATACTAAAAATATATGACTTATATTCTATATAGAACATTTTGGCATGAAGATTTTTCTAAAAAAGAAAAAGAGTATTTTACTGTGTACTTGCACCTTGACTGCTTGAAAAGTAACTGTATATGTTTACAAAAACACAATGTGAAGGTATCAGAGTACATTTTTTGGAGAGATTACGTTCCTGCATGCACTTTCTATGTGCTCTTTCTTGACTGTTTATTTTTTACAAGTCTGCATGCGAGGCTCCCAGAGACTAGCAACGCACTAATGAAGTTTCATTGCTGTTATGTAGCACATTATGCATTCTGACCTCTATGCAAAAGCAGTTTGATATTAAATGAAAGAGCCGTGACATTTCAGGTTCTGCCTCATTGGCTCTTTGAGCAAACATGAATCAGAGTACAACACAACTAGGGTCTAAGAGACAATCTCAAGGTAAGCACCCTTATCCAACAATCCAAATCTTTATATGTTGTTGTGTAGTCATCATTTGCCCCGTCAGTATATACTTTTATGTATTTTTTTTCTTTTCTGTGATTTTTGCGCGGGTTTATATTTTGTTTTGTTTTTTTATTTGTTCATTTTCACCAAGATGGTTTTCTTGCTTGCAGCCATCTTGCTCTCTTAGTGAGTTTGTTTGAAGTGTTTGTGATGCCCAAGTTTACTGTATGTCCTCCCGAGGACATATTGTATCACTCGGTGGATATTCATTAGCATGGACTTTTTCAATCATCTTTAGTTGAAGCTGTTATCAAGTAATATGTCTAACCTCTGCACTCTTTCTCCCAGTAGGCCCACAGCAGATCAATCATGTAAAGACACAAATCAACATAAAAGCACAAATTTGAAAGCCGACACAATCCCATGTGTTTTCATTAAATTAAATCGGTGGGATTTCTTTTGCACACACTTAAAAAAAGCACATGAAGATCATTCAAATATCTGTCATTTACAAATCTTTACTGATGACACACTTATACAGAATTCCTCTGGAGTTTTGCATGATTTACGTCACTTGTAGTATTTGATTTTGTGTTTGGTTAAATGTGAAGCATAGTATTTATGCCTGTGTGTAACAATTCATGTGTATGCTCCAAGACTGTGCTTCCATGAGGTTGCCATAAGCACTTTGAGAATTTAGATGAATAAATCTGAGATGTTAATAACTGACGAGAGCAACTTCTTTATTGAAAAAGTTACATTTGATACAGCGTTAGACGCTTGCAGCTTTATGCGCGCATATAATGGAGCAGTCACATAAAGTGCTACCCGTTGTTTTGTCTCTTAGTGTGAAAAAAAAATGTGCTGTCCTGTTGTGTGTGTGTCTGCTTATGTTCTACATTATGTTGCATTGTCTCCATCATGTAGACTTCTTGAGAATAGTGCAATCCTGGATCAGTACGAACGGGCGTCACTGACATATGACAAAGCGGAGCGGAGATTTACACCAGCATGATGCTGATGATGATGATGAAGGGACACTTTGACGAAAGGATACTGAATATGTATTCATGTGCAGAGACGAACACAAGGGACTAGACAAACATACTCAATGCTGCAAAGCTGTGAACAGCGTCAGCTCTGTACGTACTGTAGTCAATCCAGAATTTTTTTTTGTCTCGCTGGAAAGAAATGGACCTGTAGAATGATCGTGATTACTGATTATTCATTATTAAACTTTAAATTTGGGATGTTAGTCAGAAACATATCTGTCATTGTCATAGATTCCTCGCTGATAACAAAATTAATGTGATCGAACATCTTTAAGTTAATTTTTAAGCATGCATTTTTCAACTGAGTCGCATACATATGATTTTTTTTGTAGCAAATTATAGATGCTTGCAGTTTGTCGAATCTAGAAAGGTTTATTTTATTTGTGAAAATTGGAATTAATTACTAACCTAACTAAAGTGAATATTGTTGGAATAACCAGAAGCAGTTTAATTTGGATAACAATTGGAGGCAGAGTGGTATGGCTTGTGCATGCTTCTTTTGTACCCATCGAAACATTAACATACTAACATTAAAATATGAAAAGCCCCCATCTACTAATACATAAGTCATCAGAAATTAAAAGTAGTGCAAAAAAGCATCTTCAGAATTAGCATTGCATGCTGCTGCTTAGCCGAGTCATTAGGTGAAAAGAACTGTGCAAATGGATGTCACCATTTTCATTTTAACACAAACTCCCTTTTAAATATGCTGACTAACTTTTTGACAGGCTTTTGTTTTCGACAACGATTGTTTTGTTTTTTAGCAAACATATTTACTTCAAGTCTGTTTGTCTTCTAACTCTCTTCTACTGTAGGGGCTTAATGTCTTTGTATTAAAACAGACTTTTATACCAGGGCAAATTGAAAGGATGACAGTTTTTACAGTTACTCAAATTATCTTTCAGGGCTGATTTTACTGATGCTTTGTAAAATAAATAACAATAAAGCTTCACCTTTTTTTCTTTGTTTTATTGCCTTTTGGTCAGCACTTCCTCTGTCCTGTCAGTGTGTCCTCCGACTGTCAGCACACATGTCTCATGCATTTTTAGATGTTGGTTTGTTTGTTGTGGCTGATTTGCTTTAGAGGAAGACCAGATCCAAACCAAAGGGATTTGTTTCACCGAGCAGGACAATAAAACCAGTCCTAGACGGTTCAAATAATCACAGGTATCTGACAGACAAGTTAATTGACTTTTTGTGTTTGTCCTGATGAGATTAACCCCATACGTACTGCAGAAGGGACGGATCAGCCTCATATTCTGATAACACTCACTGTTGGCAGGCTGCTCTTGTAGAAAAACAACCTGCAGGATGAGGAGAGCGAGAATAGTAGATCAGCTGTGAGCACAATGACATAAACAATTCACACAGACTCTCATAGGGCTGGGCGATATGGAGAAAATCAAATATCACAATATCAATATAAAAAGCTTTGAGTATCGATGCTTTTAACAATAGCCTATTTACACAATGGGATTTCTGATGAATCATCGCTAATGTGGATATAATGGCTAATGACTCATTGCAAATTTAGATACATAAATGGACACAGATGGAGCCTTCTGTCCATACTCGTTTTCGGAAAACTTATAGATATGGACAAAGCTTAGCAGTGCTGCCAGAGATCGTGGGGGCAGTGTAGCATAGTTTAAGCAAGACCCAAGCATAGGACACAGTGAAGACATTGTAAACCGAAAGATTCAGTAATATCGTGGAAAGAATTCTCTGTCCACATGGCGCGATGATTTTAATGGTTTCATACCACGGCTGTCGACAACGCGGCCTCCGTTAAAAGTAGGGCTGTCCTAAATACCAAGCTTCAGTAAAAAAAATATTGATGCTTCGAGGGGTGTGGGGGTGTTCATGAGAGACAAAGACATTTTGAAACAATAGTTTTCAGTCAATGTACTAAAATTAACTTGACAGTTTGCGACTTTGTTAGCACGCAGGTCGCAGTAACATTAGCTGTAATAACATAGACTATAAAAATAATGAACGTAGCTACTGTGATGTCACCCAATTGTTTTGAAGCCTTGAATTCAGCATTATGTCATCGTTTTGTTTTTGGAGCCAAAGGTGAACATATTTGGGCGAGAGGGTGGAGCTGTGGAGGAGCGTCAGGTGTATCTGACTGACAAACCGAGGACACTGTTCACAGAGAGAGACTGTCACTCACTTTATGTAACTTTAAGCCTTAACAAAATGTAAACTGGTGAATTGTATAAAAATTCAACCCTGTACAGTTGTCATGAGTGGGACAATTAGCTATAAACATGTTCATTTCTGTTGTAAAGTTGGGCATTTTTAACATGGGAGTTTACGGGGACTGACTGGCTTCTGGAGCCAGCCTCAAGTGGCCATTCAGGGAACTACAGTTTTTGGCACATCCGTGCTGGCTTCATTTTTAGATCCTAAGGTTGCTGTTTGTATAATGCACATCCTGATTTTGCCAAGTGGTTGTTGTCCTGAAAACAACCTGTTTGTATGATAGCCCTGGGACAACAACTGCCTCAGCCAATTCGCGTTTGTGATGTCATCAAAGAGAGTCCTGATGCCAGTGCCCTGCAAAATACATACAAAATAGCTGAAATATTTACTTTAGTTTACACTAGTCTGCTACTACAGCCATTGAAATATATATTTGCTTTTTAGATTGTTAGTATTTTGCTACCATAGAAATAATCTCACATTAGCACCAGCTGGGGCGCTAGCTGCTTAGTATTAACTCCTTGATCATAACAGAATACAGTAATGTTAACTTTCATTCCTGTTCATTTTAGAAGGGCCACTACAAGAAAATATGTTCTTTGTTTAAACTGTCAAAGGTACAGTGAGTCGTAGATGTTTGTTTCTGGCTGCCAGAGTTAGTCGGCTAGCTGTAACGCTCTAGCATTAGGATGCTAGTTGTTGTCCCAGGGCTATCATTCAAAATGTTGTTGTCAGGACAACAACCACTTGGCAAAATCAGGATGTCACTCAACTTTTTGAGGTTCATCTCAATCGTCAATTTTGAAACTATTCCAGGCACTTAACTTTTTCAACAACTTGCTGGTGTATTTGTCAGCCTGACATGTGGTCAAAGTGTCTCCGGTAACTAGTGCTGGACTACTGGTGACTGATGTTAGATGAGAGAGAGTCAGAGTCACAAAACTATCTCTAAGTTTAAATATCCTTATCTGAGAGTGACTAATAATAATTAATGTTGATGCATAATTAATGAACACAGCATTGGAACTGATTTGGACGTCAATTATCATGGCAGCTTGGAAGAATTTGGGTCAGCCCTACGTAAAAGGTACATTATTATGACCTCCTCCACTGTTGTGTTTGTTGTTGTCAGAAACTTTTCACTCTGCCTTCTAGTGCCATCTGTTGGATGTGTCTATCCAACATAAAGGAAGTACACCGATCAGCCAAAACATTAAAACCACTGACAGGTGAAGTGAATAATTTTAATTATTTTGTTCCAATGCATTTTTCTGCTGGGAAACCTTTGGTTCTGGCAATCATGTGGATACCACCTGACATGTTCCACCCACTCAAACACTGTTGCAGACCAAGTACCCTCCCTCATGGCAATAGTACTCCCCAATGGCAGTAACCCCCCAGCAGAAAAAAGCAGCATGCCACACTGCATAAACTGTTTGGAAATGGCCTGTGGAGTGTGACAAAAAGCTCAAGGTGTCGACTTCTAAATTACCCAGGTCCCAGTTTGCTCAGGGATTCTTGTGATGTGCTGGTACCCCAGATGTACCCCTAATCCAAGGTGGGGCCTCTTAGGATCTCTCGGAGTGTCCTGCGGTGTCTGGAAGCAGTGCGTTGTGAGGTGGGTTAACCGCCACATATGCTCATTCAGATTAGGATCTGGGGAATTTGGAGGCCAGATTGACACTTTGAGGTCTTTGTCACATTCCTTGGGTCATTCCTGAGCGAGGTTTGCAGTGTGGCATGGTACATTATCCTGCTGGGGGGCCACTGCCATTGGGGAGTACTATTGCCATGAGGGGGGGTACTTGGTCTGCAATGGTGTTTGAGTGGGTGGAACATGTCAGGTGGTATCCACACGAACGCCAGAACCAAAGGTTTCCCAGCAGAGCAATGCACTGGAACAAAATAATCAAAGTGGTTTTAATGTTTTGGCTGATCTGTGTATGTGGGCGGTGACGGTCACAATGTTTGAAATGAACATCTCTATTTTCGTACGTAAAGGGGGTATAAATTAGCTTCAAATGAGTAAAGGCAAATAATAAAACAGCTAGAATACTGTAGTAGGGAAATCACATCACTTCACTATGATGCAGCCCTTAAAACCAAGAAAAGACGACACTCATGATATTAAAACCAAAATCTAAGACGATACCTAGTCTCATATCACGATATCAATATATTGCCCAGCCCTACTCGCATATGACGTCTTTTTTATTACGCTGTTTTTTCTTCTTAATATGTCAATTTTTTATGGTATTTACCATCTACATGTATGTGTATGTTATTTTCTGTATTCACTTTCATGTATGTATTATTTACATCATGCCCCAATCTCCTTTTCCTCCACAGACACATACACAGACTCATATCTCTGCACATACTGAATAAAATATGTTTCTTTTCTATACATACACTGCGCTCATGTTTGTGTGTTGTCTCTCTGTTGTTTTTCAGTTGTGCTGACACTTCTGTTGTAGACATTTCAAAACAGCTCACACAAATACTCACCTCTTCCTCTTTCTTCCTTATGCTTTCTCTCTTGAACATACACACTTAAACACACACAAAGTCACAAACTCATCTGCCAGTTTACAGATGGAGGCAGACACCTCAGTAATTAAGTAAGCCTGAACCAATTCGGTCGCAGGCAGCCCAGGCAGCAGATGAGAAAAGTGTAGGGCCCAGAAGAGACTTAAAGTAATAGTGTTTTCATTTCTCTGCAGATACATCAGACAGATGCATCAATCCTCTGCATCTTGCCAAGTTTGACAGCATTCGGAGCTAAGGTTTCTCTCCCTTGCATCTTGAGTGAACTGTTGCCCTGAGCAACTTTACCAATGTAGAGTGTTGTGATGAGAAAAATTTAAAGAAAAAAAAAAGGTTTGTGGTGTACGCAAGTTTTTCTTCTTTGCTTTGGGACCGCAGAGATGCATTTTCCCCTATACCTGTGCTCCTCACGTGGCCGGGATTGACGAGCCATGGAACACTGATAATTTCAGACACGGGACTGAAACGATGGTTTTTGAGAAATAGAGTACCTTTAATGTAAAGTTGTTCTTGGAGAAAAGAAAAAAATACTGAATCAGGTTTTTTAAATCATTTTCATGTAACCATCAAAATATGAAATTGCATATTTCCGCTGCTGATTTCACATTATATTTCTTACTTTGATGTCATTTCTTTACAGTAGAGTATCAGGTTGTTTTTATATCAAATCGAGAACAGGAAGCCTTGTTGAGAGGACGGAAGCACTGAATGTTTGAGATAATGTGATGCTAAACTTCATAAATGGGTGCATATACATGATTCTACTGACCCATTAACTAATGTTTATTTACTCCCACCTTTACTGATGTCCAAACATTATTTACTGACGTTCTCTTTGTCAAACTTCTTTGCATTGTGGTGTTTTTTTTTAACCCGTTTGCATATTTATTTATTAACAGAAAATGCTGGACAGAATGTTTTCAATAAACTAATGTTTACTGATTTTATTGTGAGTTATTTTGTCAGTAACATCTAATTTTCTGTTCTACACTCAGGGCCATTGTGGATCCTAATGAGGTACTCATAATTTCTTCTGGGAATTTGTAGGTGTTAACAACTTGGGAGGATTTATATTAAACAATATCAACAATTGAAAAACACAAGGTGGATATTGTATCTGCTGATTCCTGTATTTTTAGACTGAGAGTAGACTTGATTAAGTACAGGCTACTTCATATGCAAATATAACCACATAGGCCAGCAAACAAATAACTAAAAGGGTTTAATATTACCTCCCCAGAATCCCTAGCACCAAGGCTCCCTATTTAATTTGCTATAAATATAACTGCTAGTTGGTAGAGACCAAAGACAGAGCTAAAATGACAGTGGTTATTGGCTTTACATTCATCGGGTGAACATGACTTCCTTTTCTGCTGGTTGCAGTGGCGACCAGCTGATGTGCTTAGACTAATACCGGTGAAATTAACATTTTAAGTTCCACAACAATCCTGTTTAAATGTATGTGTTTCCATTGTCTGCATGTTAGGCAAGTCATTGTTCTTCAGATAGGCTGGCTGTCCTTTTCCTTAATAAGACAAATTTAGGCTACGGCTTTAATTTAAAAGAGTGTATAGATTTTAAGGAACAAAATATTAACTGGGAACAAGCCTTCTCAAGTTTAAGATTGACTCAGGGTACCCATAGAACCCATTTTCACTCAGGTATATTGAGGTGAGTTCAAGGGACCCCTTTGAAAATGGCCATGCCAGTTATCCCTTGCTAAATTTCGCCTAACTTTGGATCATTATTTAGCCCCTTTTCCGACAAGCTATGCTGTCAAGGTTGGTACCAATGGATGTCACAGGTTGTCTAGTTTCATAAGATATAACTACCTTTTTGCCTAGTTTAAAATATGAGCATGCCACACACTCTTAAGGTTCTAACACCAAGCCAACGGTTGGCCATCAGTCAATGTTGGGCTGCCAGTGAGCATCTGTCGCCCTGGTCGGTGTGGTGTGTCCCATACCGCCGCCCGTTGACAGTCCCCATCTTTTTTTTTTTTTTTTGGCCGATTCAGCATGTTGAATTGGCAACAGCGGAGTCCGTCTGTGAATGTAATCACTCTGATTGGCAGTTCAGCTCAGTGCACACGAAGAGAAAGGAAGTGAGGCAAGTAAACAAACAGCTAAAGTCAAGAGGGAGTGAGACCAAAACAAACTTGTTACACAAGGTGAGATTATTTTTTTCTTTAGCCATTGAGCTCTTTAGTAGAAACATTTCGTGTTGGTTTTGTTGGGAATAGAATGATTTTATGTGTTTTACTATAAGTTGTGTTTCACTATATAAGTTTTAGATGTGTGAACAATGAGAATACTGAGATGATTTCAGCTGATCTGAATGTGTTTGCTTTGCAGAAGTGGAGAAGTACAGGAGAGGAAGAGACATGAAGTCTGAGGAGCACATACCGCAATGCTTAGATAATTAGTTTCATATATGGTAAAAAGAATAGAAAGTGATATACAGATAGTAAGGTACAGCACGTGTAAGGAGTTGTGTTGTTCTCTTGTCTTTCAAAACAGGAACCAAGCCCCCACCACCAGCGGGAAGGAGTCAGATTAACACAAGGCAGGGGCGTGGTGTGGTGAAGGAGGAAGTGGAACTGCCAATGAGAAGAGGACAATGCCTTGCGTGCACAATGACACTCTGTTACGCTCAAATATACTGGGACAGGGAAAGGACAGGAGGTCAGACTTCGTGAACTGACACACCTTTGTTGTTCGTCAGGGAAGTGAAGTTGAGACCCAGAGCTCTGTAATTTTATTCCTTTACTGCTTAATAAACTACATTAACTGAGACCGAATATCTTCTCCTATTGCTTCATTAAAGAACACGCAGGACTGAGCTCACACATAGCACATTGGAGAGTAGGATGAGACTCTTAGTCCAACAGTTTGTATTATTGTTCACTGGTACACGATAAATATGCTTTAATCTTTCAACATCAGATTGTGTTGTTAATATGCTAACTGGCTAACTAGTGTTGAGATGGTCTTCTGGTTTTCCTTTTTGAAAGACAAATACAGACTACTGTTGTCTGCTGGTGTAGAGTTAAATTCACCCACGCAGGCACAGAAGGTGCCAGTTGGCCATCGGCCGTATAGTCTTTGCGTGTGTTCATGTGCAACTTTTCGGCCAAGACACAGGACGACATGAGGTGAAGCAGCAGTCAGCTTTCGTTGCTGCTAATTTGAAGTCGGTTTGGTGTGTCTGGGGCTTTGAAGACAGTAATGTAACTCTCCAGTTTCACTACAGGGTGCTGGTAAGGGGGCCAGTAATTGTTTTTTGGTGGCCATGGCCCCCTTGGGCTTCCCCTTGCAGGCGCCACTGACTGGTTGTGAAAAGAGACATGCTTAAAATGTGATATTCTGTCAGTGTTGTTTTTAAATTGAAACAATATCATTGTGTTTGTAAAAAAATATGTGAGTTTTTATATATATTTCGCCATTTTAATGTTACTAACACCCATTCATAATACCATGAGTGTGTTTTTACCTATTATTGTGTTAACCGTTTTCTGTCAGGGGATTATTAGAAAAACTCACTTTCCCATGAACCCTGTGGAGTGTGACGACATAAGTATGCGCCTCAGGAATACATACACAAATCACGACTGGCTCGAGACAGTCCACCCCTGTAGCACAGTATGTCCAAGTAGTTTAGTCAGTGTTGTAAGTTGTATATGTCATTTTATATTATTCCAGCCCGCGGTAGGTTACTGTATGTTAGTTTTAACAGCTGTAGCTAGCTGTTAGCGTGCTAAAGAACGTGCTAACTCGGCTTGCTGGCTAACGTTAGCACTGCGCAGGTGACTAGAGTTTAAGCTAACTGACTGACAGAGGACACAGTCATGGCTTACACGCAGATACTGAAAGCTCTGCACCGGAGTCTAAAACAAACAGCGACACAGTACTGTGTGCAGCAATGCAAGCTCACTCAGGTCAGTGTGCTGGTCCACACACAGAGGACAGTGTCAACAGTGTCGAGACTGACCTTCCACAGAAGAGCCGAGGCTACTTCGTGTGTCACACCAGGACTGAGCTGCTTCATCCAGGCTCACAGGCTGAGGGGGATTTCTCTGGACTCTACGGCCAGAAGTCAAAGCAGCCCCGAGGACAGAGACAGGTCGGTGTCCAGGTACCAGAGTGGGAGCCTAAAGCCTTCAGCTGCACAGAAAGGTAAGAGAAACACTGACATACACATGAGTCGTGTCCTCTCCTGTGTACTCTCATTACAGTGCATAACATAACTGAGGAAGCATGATAGTTTTTTATTACTCGCTTTTATGGACTGACAGAACGTGTTTCATTGACAGACTCACTTACTATAATGATTGAGTCTATAAATAGTACATGAATCAAGACAAGTCATCATCTCAAGTGTCCAGAGTCCAATGCAATCAGGCTCCACAGCCAGATAAAGGACTATTTATTTATTTATTTATTTATTTACTGAATAAAGTAAGTACTTGTGAAATATCCACACATGATACATGCAATAATATAAATTCTGCCATTCAGCCTGCCTATTTATTATATATTTCTTTTAGTTTTTACTGCTTACAATCATCACTCAGGTGCAATATCAGCATATGCTAAACTGTGCAATATCTACACTATAAAGTCTAAAGGCTGCTGTGAAACTGCGCCTACCCAGGACAACAAAAAGTTTATCTTGGGTGCAATGGCACAGTGGACAACCATGAAAGGAAGGCAGAGGAGATACCCGCACAGCAATGCAACTGGGCTGGTTAGCTACAAAAAGGATCACAGGTTGAGACAATGCAAACAGTGTCAATTTATTTAGGACATTAGTGCACAAAAAAACGAATAAAGGATTATCTTATCTTATCTGATCTGATCCCTGTTTTTGTGAGGCTGTAACCATCAAATGTTTGGTAATCCTACCTGATCAAGTACCACACTGTCGGTTACACTAATAATTTCCACCCTCTATATCTTCCAGTGAAAGAAGCCGGCAGAGACTTCACCTACTTGATAGTTATACTTGTCGGGCTTGGAGTGACAGGTGACTACAACCTTAAGATTTCAAGCAGATTTATCCTCTTGTTTCAAGTCAGATAATGGAAACAGGCACTAATATGTGTCGTTCTGTGTGTGTGTGTTTCAGGTGGGCTGTTATACGTGGTGTTTCAGGAGCTGTTTTCTTCCTCGAGTCCAAATAAAGTCTATGGCAAAGCCTTCAACAAGGTCAAGTTAGACCCAGAGGTAAGAATGAGGCCAAACAGTATCTTTCCTCTTATAACCTCATGGCAACATCTCCTCTGACAGTACATGAGTTACACTGAATGTATGAATGTATTGTGACAGTCATTGTATTGTATATTACTTAATCTACATTGAGTTCAGTGCAAAGCTTGATGTTGTCTCCTGTTGAAAAGTAAATCAAAAAAACATTTTGTTAATTAAAAATGTAGGTAATTGGTGCATTTGGGGAGCCAATCAAGTGCTATGGGGAGGTTACCCGTCGAGGAAGGAGGCAGCATATCAGGTGGGAATATTGAACTATTGATTATCCGAACACGAGGTAATGAATAATATGCACATCTCTGTCTAGAGTCTAGAGTTTTAAATAGATGGCATTATGAGGTGTTAGAGTATTTTTATCCTGTTAACTGTGATTGTGTGTTTCCACCTCAGTCATCTGGAGTACCTGAAGGACGGACTGAAGCACATGAGACTTAAGTTTTACATTGAAGGCTCTGAGCCCGGCCTCAAAGGAACTGTACACTCAGAGTCAAAAGAGGTTGGTGTTTTCCTTGTTAAAATGCAGTTTGTGAAATGGATGTGATGTGACATACCAAAACAGTACTATTCATATTTAGCTGTGGCAGTATTTAAATTGGCTAATGCCTGGTTCACACTACACAACATTTTTATCTGTTCTGACAGTCATTATGTCAGATTAGGCGATTGTGGAGTGGAGTCATAAAATCAGGCCATGACTTGGCTGACAGACATGACAGACTTCTCGATGGTCCACACCAATCATCCCTGGTTGTCTTTCACAACATGTGTGATGTCAACGGGTTATTCTTGTCCTATTTTTATTACTTTTACTATTGTTTCAGTCACTGTGTCTGTTCATGTGCCAGCTGAAATGTTGTAAATAACGACCCATTTACAGTGTAGTCTGTTTCAAATGAAGCTGGTAGTAAAAGCCACTATTTTTTAATTTTCTTACTTTATGTCCGTCTCCATTATGAAGAAATAACATTGTTTGCTAGCTTGATGCTAAAGGCAGTACTCACCAGGTTGCTAAAGTGCCTCTGCTGTTTCACACCATCATTTTGCCTTTTGTACGCTGTGTGGTAGCATCCCTAGAGGAAATGTCAAAAACCCTGGGGTGCTGTTGCCGTACAGTTGTCCACAGCAGCAGATCGCTCTGTGTTCCCATCGGTCGAAGTGACGGCTGTGACGGGAGCAGTCGTGAACAACAAAAAGAAAATCAAACATGCTAGACCTTCTGTCGGGACGTCGTGAGGCGTCCCAGACGTGGTGTCGGTTGTCATCTACTATGACACGCTACACAAGATGAAACGATAATCACGTACGACACTCTTTGTCGTTCACGATCCGAGCCGACACCATATGACGTTGCGTCGTGTGGTGTTGATGTAGTGTGAACCCAGCATTAGTAATTTCACATGACAGCAGAAAGAAAATAAATGTACAGAGGTGATCATTAAACTGTTATTTTTATTTTTTATTTTTTTTATTTTTTACAGAAATCCACCAAATTAAGATACTGATTTAATTTGTTGTTATTTCACAGAATCCTGAAACTGGAAAATATGAGTTTCGCTACATATTTGTGGAAATGGACACCTACCCAAGACGAACCATCATTGTGGAAGATAACCGATAAGAAATGACTCAGGAGTATATCTTCTCTGGAAAATCATTGTGAAAATGAGACGTGTGTTTGTGTCACTGGACAAATAGCTGCCAATTTACTGTAAATATAAGTTTAATTTACTATAAAAAGCTGTTATGTTCAACATCAACAGTTTGGGCTGTTTTAAACTTGGCCGCAACAACAGAGCAACGGGTGAAAAGCTTTGCAGAGTACAGGTTCTTGCACAGAAAATAATCATTGACTCTTATGTGTTATTGTTTTATAAATAATACACATGTGCTACAAGTCGTTTTTTAAATGAAATACCACAGGATGGACTACATTTTTGAATAAACTGCAATCAGAGATGCTTAAGTTGTAATAAAAAATGTTTGTACATGAACAGACATGCAGTAAAATACAGTACGGTTGTTTTATTTCTTATTTCATTTCTATTTTGTGTTATTTTAACACAATGTTCACCCTTATTAGGTCATTGTGTAAATTACTATGTAAAGTCTGTCATTTGAAAGACCTTGAAAATGTTGCAGGGTCCTTTTGTTCTGCTTAGAGCCAAGCTCACTCAGTCACTTTCTGTGTATTTTGAAAGGTCTGTTTTCCTTTTAAATTTCCATATTTATTTTTAGTCTTTGTTTACTGCATACTTCTGTATTTGGTTATCTTTTAGATTGCATTATGAGACAATGGCCACTAGATGGAGGCAAAGAGTGGAGAGATAGCAACAACCTGATATGACCTTTTAGATTATTTCATAATTTCTCATCTATTTACATTGTTTATGTGTTTGAGTTGGTATTTTGCATAGTTTTTCAACACATTTTTTAATGTACTCAGAGCTTGAAAAGTCGATAATAATTGAACATCTGATTTTAAATAATGAACAATTAGGTTACTCTTGACATTATTCAACTTCTTATTGTGTTTTTTGACGCGATGATACACATATATAGTGTGAAGACATCATTTATGACAATGATCTGTATTTGGTTTCATTTTTACTCCTTTGACATGCAAGCATGTGCTGCCTTCAATGACCCTCGGAATTTCCTGATTTATGAAGGACTTTTATGAAATACCACAGCAATAACCGAGGAATATCACTTTTTAATCGCTTTTTTTGTGATAACGCTGTTGCTGACACGTCATAAGTATTTTGAATCATTTGATAAATGTACTGTTTGTGGTACTTCTAGCGGCTATACATTTTTTTAAACAACTGTGAACCTACCTGAGATGAACTTTCTCATTTCCGCTATCCTTTGGCAGAACAAAGTAGCTCCGGTGACAACGGTGACAAAACAATTGGGAAATACATTTTAAGACGGCAACAACAACACTTCACCATCAACACGAACCGATTAATTGGAAATATTACGTCGGTGTCGAGGGGGAGCAGCTTACGGGAAGCTCTAAAGGCATCAGTGCTGTGAACACCGCCCACCATTAAACCAAAGGCAGCATTGAACGCACAGGGACGTGCTAATGCAGTTAACGCTAGCTCAAACTCTGTAGGACTAGTTTAGTTGTTTATTCAATGTTAAGTTAACGAGTAGCCTGTCGAGTAACTAGCTAGTAACCTTGTATATAACACCAAGAAGCTGTGTCCATGAGGCAGGTCAAATTTCAGTTGTTTTCACCGCGGCGTGGGTAAATAGTGAAGGGGCTGTTGTTGTTGTTGTGGCCTGCTACACGCTAAGCTAAGCTAAGCTAGCTGTAGCCTCAGCTGGTTCCTGGAGCTCTGCTCGTCACATCTCCGAAACGACACGGGAAATGACACACCTTTCCAGCTAACTAAGGCCGAGCTGTCGCTATATAGTAAGTTAAAAATCCTGTCTTTGTTTTTACATTTAGCTAAGTTGGGTAGCTAAGTCAACGGAGGGGCTGTCGAGCTAAAGTTGCCATCTGTTTCAAGTTATAGAAAGTGCTTTAACGTTGAAGTCAACCTAGCTTGAGCGGTGAGATGCTCTGAACTTCTGGGTTCATAAAAGTGAGCTATTATTAATTATAACCTGTGCTACAGTTCATTAAACAAAGAAAGGTAAAGTATATTGCCTCTTTGAAGATAAAAATAATCAAAAGGGTTTACTGTTTTCAGGACAAGTTGTGGTTTTGGCCAGGGATCAGCAAGTTCCCCAGCTATGAGAGCCTCTACACACTAATTGACATCTCACAAAAATGGAGCTGTACTGGTACATGTGAGTATGACTTATATATTTATAATCACAACTCTTTTTTAGGCTAAAACAGGAGTTTAAAGCTGATATCTAAAGCTACCCACCCCTCTCCTCTTTCCTTTACAGAGTTGTAATCATATTCATCATCATCAAGATATTCTTCTATGTGTGCTGGTACCGATCAAGACAGAGGCAACTGGCAGCATACTTAAGCAACCCACGCAATGCTCAGATAGTCATTGTTGGAGGAAGGGCCTACCTCCATCAGATGTGTGAGAGACAGAGTGTAAGTGCAGCCCCCCACAAACACACAAACACGTCCCACATTTGAAACGTGTAATCTAGCTGTCAGCGACTGAAGTGGTTTTGCGCCTCCAGGATATGTCTTTATCATGGCAGAGGCTGAGTACAGGGGCTTGGTGATAAAGAGAGTCTCTTAATGTTGGCTGACTTGAGTATGGTACACTGAGCAGAAAGAATTCGTAACATAGCAGCAAACTTGGCCATTTTGAAGGAGAATGAGATTTCTTTTATCTTAGAGGTAGGGAGTTGCCTGCGCTCTGCCTGGGCAGGCATGTTTCACCATAAAGCTTGACCCTGCTTGACTTTATGTTTGCAATAAATGTGTTTTCAATTGCTGTAACTTCACATGTGGGCTCAAAGGGTAGTTACACCTTCAAATTCTGCGAGAACCATCTCTCCCAGCATATCTAAAAAGCAAAACACTGACTGCAGGAGGTGTGGTTGTGAGTGACTTGGAGGGTCAGTGGACAGGGGGACACTGACCACCACTTAGTCACACGGACAGCAATGTAGAGTGGTTTTTCAGAGATAGCCAGCCTTGAGAAGCTGCTGTCAGACTCTCTGTTTCTCTGCTGGAGATACTTGAAATCTTATGCAGCTTTAATAGTCACAAGAAGCACATTTATAGTCCTGTTTTGTATTTTGTGTGGGAGTAACAGTACAATACAGGATGTAGTCATGCTGTTTATCTCAGTTAACATAACCGTTCATCAGTCCAAAATATATTTTATATCTTGAAATACGTAAGAGATCTTGGAGTCTTGCCTATTTTGTCACAGTTAAAGGGAGGGGGTGCTGAGAATTCAGCTGAACCAAACTTTTAAACCCAAGCTGACCCTTACAAGCTAATTTCGAGCAGAGGAAGCTGTTTTTTTACAGTGTAAAATCTGTTGTGAATCATGTTAACTTTAAATGCCAACAACAATCTGTTATTATGTGTACAGTGGGAAAAAAAACCATTTATTGTAGAGTTCCCCTTTAACTGCTTTAGCTTTGTTTTGGCCAGGGGCAGACACACTGAAAGTGGTACATCACAAATCGAAGTTCAGCCCTATTCTCAGAACTGTCGCCTTTTTTTATCCAATTGGAGTTTGCAGGCCTGGAGTAAGGGAAAGTCAAATAAGGTCACAGTTGTGTTACATTTTTGTAGAGGAGTTGTTTGCTCTCTCTTGAGAGGACATGTGGTTTTCAGTCAGTCGCTTTCACTTCGATTAGAATGATAAGAAAGGCTACAGTTCACTTTCACTGACACTCTGAGCAAGTGTGTGGATGTGTATTAATAGGACCACACCTGGTTTGCATGTATCTGTATGCCTACACTTTTAAAGTTTGTTTGACCTTGTTGACAGCTGAGGTTTGGTAGGGCAGGTCACAGCTTTGACAGTTATTCAGTTAGAAGATAACGATGAGTGAGACCTGTGCAGCCCTTTTTTTTTTTAAGACAAGTTTGTAGAATTTCCACCAAGCATGTGAGATATTTTCGTGCAGATATCATCAGTAAAGACAGAAAGCAAGGCAGAAGTCGAGTGACGTACAGACAGCAGTGTGTGCCTCTTCAAAGGTCTTGTTATTTCCCTACCTCTGAAATAATCCAGTTGTCAGTCACTCATTTTCTTTTGGCTGCGTGCCTTTTTTTCCTTGTAATCTCACAGTTTCTATCTCTCGCCCCATGTGAATCATAAGACACAGGAGAAAAATAGCGGTCTGCTCTGATGTTTAATTTGCTTGACATTATGATGAATTTATGTGGTTAGTTCGAGCTGCTGTCAAGAGTCATTTGATCACTGGTCTGACCTTCATAGCTGCCTTTCTGTTTGGTTTGCAACATCTTACATTTTGCTGACACAAATGCTTTTCATACATATTTTGAAAGTGGCTACAAAGTGCAGGTTTGTCTTTTATTGCTCCCCTGAAGTGCTAGTTGAATTTAGCAAATCTCTGGTGTTGATGCTTTCGGTGATATGTGTAGAATAGTAATGCCTTTCCTCAACATCAGTTTGTGCGGAGTCTGTTCTGTGGGGCTAAGCCACAGGTTTAGACAGCCATCATGATCGTGCTTCCCCCCCTGGGCCTTCCCTGCTTTACTGCCTCTCTAAAACACCTGGAAGCAATCTCCATGATTCAGAACCGTCCCAAAATATGCTCCGTGAATCATATAAAACAGGTTTCTCTGACATTTTTCTAACACGTATCTAACTTTCGCCCACTTCACCCACTTCTTGGTCGTTATCTCAAAAGATACTGTGAGAGTGATTAAGCCATCCACACATTTTTAGGAGAAATGATTCATTTAAATGGAAGTGTGCGTAGAAGTCAATTTAGTCATTTCCTGACACTGCCCCAGCTTCTGAGATATTTAGCATTGCTGTAGTTGCATCTAAGAGGCACACATGTGATATTTTTAGCGTTGTTTGGAATATTTGTGCAACAGGAAATGCCCCAGTTGTAAAATAAACAAATAAATAAATGCTGCAGTTGAAACAGAGAGATACCAGGACTTTTGGCCTCGGGTTTTCCCAGACCAGTTATAATATCTTGTATTCTATGTGAAATGTTTGACTCTTAGAGGAAGTCCAGTCAGTTTAAGATCGCCATTTTGACCATTATGACCATACCTTACTGACTAAACACAAGAAATATGTGGTCATATGAAACGTGTAGTTGTGAAATATTGATTTTGAATGTCTTTAGACTAGGTGTATTTACATGTGTGGCCTTAACTGTGCATGCCATGGCCAATTACATGTTGGGTAAACACCACAGTAGCCCTCCTGTCTCCTCTTCGCAATTATTTTCTCCTCTTCAGCCTCCTCCATTCCCCGATCTGTCCTACTGCTACAACTCCTCAGTTTACTCCTACATCCCCTCCTGCATTCTTCTATTTTCTCCTATTCTGTTTTTCTTCTGCCCTTCTTCCTTTCCCCCTTGTTCCTTCTGCCGTCTCTGGTGTATAATGTTCCCTGTTTAGATTTTAATGGAATCTGCAGCAGGGAGGCCCCACAGTCATCCATAACCCAGCACCCTGAAAGTTTTCTGGAGAGACGCCAAGACGACTCGAGTCCTGGGCTTAAATGAATCAAGCATAGTGAGGGGGGAAAACTCTTGATGTAGTATCACTCACTAAGCCTCTTGGACAGTCTTATTCACGGCTACCTGAAAAGACAAAGTGAACCCGCAAAAGCAATGAGAAGAAACTTTTGATACATGTAGGCCCTGGAGAGAGATGGAAGAGATGAATTGTTTATGGATTATTAGATTTCATCTTATGTGGCACAGGCTCAGTTCTTTAGACCCACAGAAATAGTGGTGATTATTATAGGTTATTTGTGCTGTAATTATCTGGTGTGTTTGTGCGGCATTGTTCCTCATCACTCTCCATCACCCCCACAACAACAGGATGGAAGTTTTAAACTAATTAAGACATCAATCTGTAAAGGCGTCAGAAAAACAGAGCGCTTCTTTCCAGGAAATAGCTAACATGTGATATAATGCTCAAACATTGTATGTATACTACTCAAAAAAAATTAAGGGAACACTTAATTGTCACAGTATAACATGAAGTCAGTTACACTTCAGGGATATCAATCTGTCCATTTACGAAGCACAAATGATTGTGAATCAGTTTCAGCTGCTTTGGTGCAAATGAAAGTGACAACAGGTGCAATGGAGAGGCAAAAGCAAGACAAACCCAAAAAAGGAAATGGTTTAACATGTGGTGACCACAGACAGTTGCTCACTCCTAATCCATCCTGACTGATTCTTCTCTAGTTTTGTGTTCTGCTAGTGTCCTTGTCACTACTGGTAGCATGAGGCGGTACCTGCAGCCCAATCAGGTTGCACAGGTAGTCCAGCTCCTCCAGGATGGCAAATCAATACATACAGTTGCAAAAAGCATGGAGGAGATATCAGGAGACCAGCTGTTACATGAGGAGAGCTGGACAGGGCTGTAGAAGGGCATCAACCCAGCAGCAGGACCAGTATTTGTTCCTCTGTGTGAGGAAGAACAGGAGGAGCACTGCCAGAGCCCTACAACATGACCTCCTGCAGGCTACTGGTGTGCATGTTTCTGACCACACTGTCAGAAACAGATTCCATCAGGGTGGCATGAGGGCCTGACGTCCTCTAGTGAGACCTGTGCTCACAGCCCAGCACTGTGCAGCTCGATCGGCATTCGTCAGGGAACATCAGAATTGGCAGGTTTGCCCATTAACGCCACGTTCTCTTCACAGATGAGAGCAGGTTCACACTGAGCACAAGTGACAGGCGTGAAAGAGTCTGGAGATGCCGTGGGGAACGTTACGCTGCATTCAGTGATGGTCTGGGAAGCCATATCCTTTTAGGGTCTCACAGACCTCCATGTCATACCTTGACTACTGTTAGGTACCAGGATGAAATCCTCAGAGGGTTCCTCCTGGTGCAGTGGGCCCTGGGTTCCTCCTGGTGCAGTGGGCCCTGGGCTCCTCCTGGTGCAGTAGGCCCTGGGTTCCTCCTAGTGCAGGACAATGCCCAGCCTCATGTGGCCAGAGTGTGTAGGCAGTTCCTATATGATAAAGGCATTGATGCCATTGACTGGCCCTATCGTTCCCCTGACCTAAATCCAATTGAGCACCTATGGGACATTGTGTATCGGTGCATCTGACGCAGCCAAGTACCATAACAAACTGTCCAAGAGCTCACTGATGCCCTGATCCAGGTCTAGGAGTAGATCCCCCAGGACACCATCTGCTGACTCATCAGGAGCATGCCCAGACATTGTTGGGGCGATACACACTACTGAGTCACATTATGAGTTGTTGTGATAAAATTCATACAGGTTGGATCAGTCTGCGATTGATTCCAGTTTTTAACTTTGATTTTCGCTTTGATTTTGAATCCCGCCCTCAGCCCTCATTATTCTCTTCTCTGCTACTAACCAAGGAAAGAATGGAAGTCGTTGTCACGTTACAGCCTCGCTGTATTTATCTTTCAATAAAAAAGTAAATTTTATTCCCTAAATGCTTGTTTTTCCCTGTGGTATTGAATACGGTATCAAATATCGATATGTTTTAATGTATTGTGTCAAGGTTAGAAATTCCAGTATCATGACAACACAAAGACCATCATTCAGTCTTTCTTTATTTAAAAAATATATCTTGAAAAACGATATTAACACAGCGAGGGTCGCAGCCTAGTGTAATGTAAACCACCACTGCCTATTTATGTGGTTCATTGGCGGCCGTCTCGCTCCTGGGTTTTGTGTAAATGACTTTATGGGGGGGTTAACATGGTTCATCAGATTTCGGGCTGAAAATGTTCCATGCTGCTTAGCCCAGTGTCAGAAAACACATTTAAACACAGAGAAGGGATATAACACGGGCAGCCCAGCAGAGTTACAGTATCATTCACTCCCCTTTAAGAACATTGTCTTGCTGTTTGTTAAGTGTGTGTATAGACTTGCTTGTCAGTCTAGGCCTGAAGCAAAGAGTTTCAAGAAAGTCCAAGATAATCATAACTGGCAGCAGTGTCCTCTCTGGAGATGTGTACAGTAAAACCAGCTTTGTTAGTATTCTAATAGTGTCAGCCATGTTGACACTTGCATTGTTGGCTTTAGCTAATAGATTTGTGAGCACTGGTGAATCTAAACATGCTTCTGCTTTTGTTTATGTTTCATTAACTGTGTGCTTCCTTCCCTCTTTAGCAAACGTCTGTCTGGCCTAGTTGGTATGGCGTTCAGGATGACCTGTCGATAGAAGAGCCCTCCACAGCCCTGCCACCAGCTGCATCCTTCTCCCACTTGGACATGCCACCACCATATGAGGCAGTCTCTGGAGGTAACACGCACACTCTTAAACACAGTGCTTTAACATGATGCGTCTGCTCCTTCCTCAGTCATTCAATATTTACCCTTCTATGTCTTTATGCCTGTTAGCTGCAGCTTGTGGGTGCTAACCGCTCGTATTATTTTCTCATAGTTGTTTCAGCCTTCACAGCACCCAGTAAAGTTCTCTCCAGAGGGTTAACAGCAGTGTCATAGTAGATTTTGATTAATAGCTCAGCATTGTATTTCACCACTTTATAGCACAATGCGGCACTAAAAGAGTGTATCATATGTGTGTCTAACTTTCTTTCCCCACAGTAACTGTGGTCACATTGTTTCATTCACTTTGTGTTACGAGCGACAGCGGGGGAAAGTCCGCTTCATTTCATTACTGAATATTCCCTGCGGTTGCAGTATTTACATAGTTTCACTTACTGTGATAGAGAACAAAGGTCACTGTGAGAAGGAGGTTTGCAGTGGAAATGGCTCTGCAAGATGTGTGTCACTGAAAAGACAGAGATAACCGAGCCTTTAGCCTTACTTGCACTGGACTAGAATTACCTGGGCAGCACATGTGATTTGTAATAATTGCGGAGGTCATGTGCAGGGTCCAAAACTAACTTTTTCACTTACCAGCCAGGCTGGCTGGTAAGTGAAATTTTTTACCAGCCAGGCAGATATTTTACCAGCCAACCAAATAAAAATTGCTTATAAGTGTTGTAATTTGCTATCAGTATTATTTAGCATGTCATTTGGGTCTTGTATGCGATTCTCAATCAATATTTTAATAGTGTGCACTAATATTAGTAATAATGTATGCTAAAATATGAATAACTGTTTCAACAGTTAAGTGTAATATTTGGGTTAATAAATTCTGTAGTATTCTTACTACAGTGCAAAAAGAATCTTTCATTAAGGAATTTTACATGAATCATTGACTTCAGTCCCCTTTGGACAGTTGAGACATAACATTTTAGCTCGACCAGACTGCAACAGCAGGGCCTGCCCTATATAAACATGAATGTCTGACCAGTAGTGGACAAAGTATTCAATGACATGACTTGAGTGAAAGTAAAGATACTCTTGGTCAAATATTACTCCAATACAAGTGAAAGTTGTTCCGTCATTTTTTTTTTACTTAAGTGAAACTGCACCAACTGATTAACATACAAGTAAAGAACAGTCCCTTTATAAGTAAAGAACAGTCCCTAAAGTGCGGTGAGGTTTGTGGATGGTTACCTGCCACAAAGAGAGAAATGTGAACGGCTTGTTTCACATTTCTCTGCTCGTTTCGCGTAAGCCCATTCACATCAGACGCGCATTTCTCCACGCCGGTCGACAAGCGGTTCTGCTCCCAGCTGTTGTCTCCGTCACATTTGGGGCTGTTTTTGCATCATGGGTAACTGCCCAGCTTAACAGATTCGCTCGCGGCTCGCGCAGAAAATAGACCAGACGCCGAAACGATCACTGCAGGGCAGCTCCACGGCCGGAGTGGATGACACAATCGGTTAACATGGGTGCTGAAAGGAAACTGGCTTCACTTCTCAGCGCTTCGAGGCTATTCACAGCGCTTCCGCGGGCGGTGTGGCCCTGGCGTTACGTGACCAAAGATCGTCTCTACCTGAAATACACATTACTCTGCCAGGAAACCAGCCGATACCAGCACCGTTCTACAGTAACAAAAAATGCATTTTTCGCTGGTAAAAAAATAACTCGCCAGAGTGGCGAGTGGTCTTAAAAATTTACCAGCCAGAGACAAAATCTACCCATAATTGGCGAGTGGTGAGTGTTAGTTTTGGACCCTGGTCATGTGTGATCTTAATCCTATGCAAATTTTTCGTGTCTGTAGTTTGTCAAGTAAAAATTCCACTGCAAAAAACTGCCAAACAAAGAGGTCATGTGATGATATTAGTCCTGTGTGAATCAGCATCTTGTATTTTGGTTTTTGTTGTTTTCTCCACCCTCGTTTTTTCCTCTTTCCCATTTGAGAATTATGGAGGCTGTGGTGCCAATTATAAATGAAAGTTTTGTGATTCATATTTGGGGGATAATCTCAGTAAATTCAAGTGAAATGAGACTTATCCTGTGCAAATGTGCTGCATAAAACACAGACACAGGGGGGAGGTAATTTCTGAATCACATCCCTGGGTAATACAAGTGTCATTCAAAACAGGCTTTAGTTTCAACACGTTTTATGTTGTTCTCACTCTGAACTTTCTCTGTTGGCATTAGAGACTTGTAAGAGAAAATACAAGCAGCCTAAGGTGCACATCAGCTACGTCATAGCCTACAGCGCAATGGAGCCTCTGCAGGCTGCTACTGTGGGTACAGTAACAATTTAACCCCATAACACAGACGTATAGTTCCGTCTGAAACCACGACTTCTTCACCCTATCCAACAGGAAACCCATTCACTGACCAGAGTACAGTTTATTCATCCAGTTACCTGCACTTGTGGTGCACAGGTTGGAACTACTCTTGACAAAAACTTGCCTCCACCTTCCTCAACACCAACAGGTTTATAACTTCATTAGAAATGGTGTAAAAGAGCACTATGTTTGCTTTAAATAGACAAAGTACACCGTTTGTCAGTAACTTCATCGTAAGGAAACCACCCACTTAAGGGTTTCCTTGTATACCAGACAGACATGCTTTGATGTGCACTGCTCGTGTGTCAGTCAAGTCAAGAGTTAACTCATTTCTGTTGTCTGTTTGTGGCGGAAGCAAAGCTATTAGGGGAAAAACTGTAGTCTGACTCTTTCCACTCAGGGAGGTTCATGTACTCGATGTTCTACTCGTGGTTTGGAAGCAGTTTATGAGTTTTTATGTTATATGTACCGCAGCATGTCATTGTGTTGTTCATGAAAGATGGCAGAAGCTAGCCAGGTCAGTTGTTGAATCTTTGCATCAGGATTCAGTCTCCTCTTTAGCAAATGGCATCTAATTTGATCTGAAGTGCTCTTTGTGTCTGACAGCGAGATGCGGTTACAGAGGGTGGAAGTGGGGACATTTCAGCACTAATTGTAGTACAGTACACAATCTTGCAACCTCATTTTCACCCCCACATATGATCGTTTTTTCCTATTAGATACCAGAGGGTGTATGGGGGCTTTCTGCGATATAAATATTTTAACTGTTAATGCTTGAATGTATAATTAGCCATACAGCAGCACTTTTTACACCTTACCAAGTCTGTCTTTATCAAACTATAACTCTCTAACCATCTGAGATATCATGTCTCAGATATTTTTAAAAAAAGGTGCAACATCATCTTCACAATCCAACGTACATGTGGAACTTTAAAACCAAGTGTTAGACTGAGAGACAGTGAACGAGAGGTGAGCATACCAGAGTTGCAAAGGTGGTACTGAGCAAGTGTAAAGGGAGCAAATTTATAATGAGAGAACAGCAAACAAAGAAAACACAGAACACACAGTAAGGAGACTCAGGAGACTCAGGCTGCTTTCAGATCTAGAGTTGTCTTGCTTTGGTCCGAATCAGGGACTAACTTTGTTAGAAACTTTCATAATTGCCTAGAGTTGGTTCATGTTCTCACAGCAGCATTTACAAGCGGACCAGATCAAATGTCTTGCGTGAGAAAGCTGCTCTTGATTGGTCAGAATTTCCATGTGGGAAAAATCCAGGAAGTAAACAAAACGTTGAAGAAGAGTACACTTGCAAGATAAATGTGACACTTTCTAATGTCACAATGGAGGGACAACTACGCAGGTTGATTTTAGCGCTGCTCATCGTGGACTATATTGCTGTCATTGTTCATTTTAGTCAAACCATACAGTTTGAAAACGAGGCGCGGCTCCAACTAGAAAACAACGTTTTGATGCACCTCTTCAAGAACGTCTCAGTCCAGTTGTTTTGTGCGCATATTAGTGTGATTGCTGTGTTCACACCTGCCTAAGCAAACTGCTGCACTTAGGGGGGAAACAAACTTAATTTCAATTGAAACGAACCAAACAGGGCATGTGTGAAAGCACCCTGAGATAACAACTTGGTGACTAGAAGAAGTTCGAAACCGAAGAAGTGCTGCAAACATTTATTTTATTTCTCTTATGAGAGCGACGAGGAGGATTCAGGATTCCACAGTTCCAGGGTCAGTTTTCACCAGCAACGTTTTTGGCTGTTCTTCCTCACCATCACTGGGTTTTGGAGATGCTGACACATGTTTGTTGTCCCTAAAAAGTCTTGTCTTGCACTGCATTTTCACACACACGTAGACGTTTTTCACGAGGTGTAGCACACACTTGGCATTCAGTAGGCAGACATTGGGATTGTTGTTTTGATGCTGCTGGTACAAACGTGTTAGAATTATTGTCACGTAAAAAATTGATTGCAGGCATTAGTTCGTAATCTTATTTTGATGAATCGTTGAACCCTAATGCTGAAGCTTATTTGACCTAATGCTTATATTTTTCACACCACAGACAGACTTGTTGACCTGTTTTCTCTTCTCCTTTCAGAGGATGATCTGAAGCCGCCTCCCTACAGCGAGTGTGCTAACGGCGATGAGGCCGACGCTCCACGCCCCTCCCATCAAGCTCCTCTCATCTCAGAGGGAGGAGACAACATTAGCGTAAACGAAGCCCCACCCCCCTACACACTCTCCCCCCCCACACAAGTCAGTCAGCAAGACGTCCCTGTGAGCCACAGTGAGTCCCAGTCAGAGAACAGGTCCACCTAATCAAACCCCTGATGCCAGTTTGCCTTTTCCATGCACTGCCTTCCTATAATCAACCTCAGTGATCGTTGCCAGCCTAACTCTCATCACATGAGAGCAGATGTTTATTTGGATGTGTGTGTGCGTGTGTGTGTGTGTATGCGTGTGTGTTTGGTGGTTTTTAGATTCAAGTTGTTTTTCTACTTTGTATTGTTTAAAAAAAAAAAAAGAAAGAAAAAGTGGTCATCTGATGAGTTTGGCAATAACGGATCACATCAGCAAGCCTGTGTGCCTCAGTCAGGACCGCAGAACTGCCTCCCAGCTAGGACGGGGATAAAAAACCCTTGACGGCTCCGTTCAAAGGGACACAGATAGGCAGAGAGACAGATTCTTTCAAGTGTTTCATGAAGTTGTTTCCCTGCTGGATGTCCGAGGCCACTTCCTTTCACAGATCTAGACCAAGCATGATTGGGGAACTGAGCAGTTTTTAGTTCCTGCTGCTGTGATGAATAATATGTGGGACATTACTGCGTCTGTGTGTGTCTATAGACATTGTTCTGAACACAGTAACTTAATAGTGCATGAGAGACAATTCATAGCGTAGACAGTCTAATTAGATTTCGGTGTACCTTGCTGCAAAGATATTAAATAAATCCTAAGTGTTCTGACTTCTGCAAACTGCTATTACTCTCGACGCTTCATTAATACTGCACGTGTGTTATTTGAAGTGTGTTGATGGAGAAGTATTTGATAATGAATGTGCTAATTGTCTTAAATAATTACCTCATTAGCATAACTGGTTATGTTTAATATATCACGGTGATTATACGGAGACATTAGACGATTCAAGTGCCTATTACATCTGTGAATAGAAGTGAGCGAGGACAAGCGGAAGAAGTTGGTGACATAAATGATTGCTTAATGGCAGCAGACGAGAGATTGTTCTCTGTTGATGATCACCTCCGCTGCCGGTTCTGTCTGTCGCTGCTTTACGTCAGCGCCTGTGTAAGAGAAAGCAGTAATAACATGAATTGTGGTATTTCTGTGTTTAAAAAGTTGTGGTTGGACAAAAAGTCGTCAGATGTCTGAGGAAAAATGTTGCTCTGTCCCTCAACATGTATGAAAACACATTCAGTGTAATTGTAGATTCAGCTATGAGATAATCAGAGCTTTTAGTACATCAGATGAAAAATGTATAACAATCCAGAAAAACTACCCACAGGGCTGCGAGCTCAGGCTCAAAACATTTTGGGCTGAAGGCTAAAAAGTCATCGAAAAATCTCAGTTTTTAATATTTTTTTTTCTCATAAATGTTGCAAAATGAAGACTAACCAAAAAATGTTTTATAACAACTGCGTCTGTTCCTTGTAATCATCATGTTAATCTGCCGCAGGCAGACGTCAGCCGACTTTGTGTACTTCTTGTGTTATTTTTGTTTTTGTTTTTCTGGTATTGTATTGCTTGGGGAAAGGTTGTTACTGTGCTTTTTGCTTTTTATATCACAGCATTTTAGATAATCCGGAAATAACACTGTAAGAAGATGCTCCCAAATGGTCCACCTCCTGTTTCTGTCTCAGCAGCAATCTATAATCTGTGTACAGTTTCTGAACATTCAAAGAAAAATGTGAGCAAGAAAAACACAAAATGTATAAATGTATTTAGGGCCTTTGGGGACGGTGTATAAAAGGGGATCTTCTCGGAGAATCGGACTTTAAAAAATGTCACGTGTTTTACTGATAATCCTTCGTATTGTGATGACAAATCGTGGAGCATCGGTCACTGATGCCTTAAAAGAATCTCAACTGTGGTTTTAAAATCTGAAGGATGCGACAGTGAAGCTGCACGGTGCAAATCCAAATGTAGCTTTGAACTATGATGACATCCCTAACATAGCAGCAGCAGCGTGATGATGATGATCGACTTCCTGAACCATAGTGTTACAGGTTCCCACTGTAATGTACGTCCTGTTTGTTAACTTCATGCTCATTCCCACGGTGGTCGACATATCAGATCTCTCCACTTAGTAGCTTGTTGAGTTGAGGGGAATTGACTTTTGTGTTTTGAATTGGCGGGAAATCCGTGTTCTGTATTAAACTGTTGTTCATAATTCTGCAAGTGTTGTTTTCTTGCTTTAAAGTCCCTGCACTATACAGCACAATAACAGCATTAGCCACACTCTGGTTCCAACATAGAGATAATTAACTTAATTTCACCCCAGTAACAGACAGTCATTACTAATGATTTGTGCCTGTTGATGTTTACTTACTTTTTTGGGTATACTACTTCTATTTTTTGCAGATTAGATGAAGGTTTCTGCTTTATTTCTATTTTAAGTCTTGAGCCTGAAATGGGGGCAAGCTCGATGACATTGTCAGGGTGGTTTTCTCAAAATTTGGAAAGTTTCCCCAGAGCCACAGAAGGCATTATATAACCATTTTCTCAATCCGAGAAGGCCCAGCCCATCCTCGTGATGAGTAAACAGAACTGCATGACTAAAATCACAAGTAATGCCCTCTTAAAATGCACATCAAAATAACCCTGTGAGTATTATTTTGAATTATACGTGGTTCTAAGTACTTAGTACAAAATTCCCTCTTTGTTCTCATCAAGTTTCCTCGGCAGTGTCTTCTTGCTAAGCCGCAGCAGAGGGCATTGTTTTAATACTCTGTGGTTCCCAACTAGTCCAGCCACGGGGTCCAGATTTGTCCTTAGTCATTAGTTCAAGGTCCACACAATTTAATATATTCAGCGTCATACTTGAGTTTGGTGTTGTCTCAAGCTAGTTTGCTGTCTCTGTTAAGTAACTGTTCACTAGTCACTCACCAATCTTAGAAATAAAGTGTGTTTTTTACAGAGCTGATTCGTTAGCAAGCTGATTCGTTAGCAAGTTGCTTGCAGTCCATTCAGAATGGACCTGCGACCCACCAGTTTGGCACCACTGCTCTATCGGTCTTGGCCTCAAGATTTGTCTCCAGACCACTTTCTAAAGGTCTCAATCGCGTCTCGGAATCGACCGCACTTTTACTAGGTCTTGTCCTGGTCTCAGGTAAAGAGGACTTTACTTCAAGACCACAACTGCCCTAATATCACCAAAATGCCTATGCAAAAAAAAGTGTTGAATAAATGTGTAAAAGATGATATCAGCTCCTTAGTGTTCATAGAAAACAAAGGCGAATTCTCACACAAAATTCACCCCTGCAATGCTCAACTCATTCTCATGGTTCATTCATAGATAAACAATCACACAGTATGGCAATAAAAGAGGTGAATGAGGAATCCAGCAGCAAAAGAAAAAACAAAACAAAATGGAGCATTGGTGTTAAGACAGAAAGGGGAAAAAAGAGATAACACACAAGTTATCTCTCAAGTTACAGGGTATTGACATGTGACTCCATGGTAAAATTACCGCGGTAAATCATCACCCATTCACTGTAATTCTTCAATCAAACTAATGACCGGTTGCCAGATTTTCTTAAAGAGTCCTCTAAATGTAAAACATGACCTAATTCCTTCAGCCACATTAAGATGTTGGAAGCTTCTCAGGTTTCCAAGATTGAAGCAAGCTAGCAGCCTGGAAGGAGAGATGACCTGAGCCTCATACCTGTCCTTCACTCTACGTGGTTCAACCACTCCAAATAGTGTGGTTAAAGGGGCAGGGGGAAAGTTCTTCAAGGCCTTAGCAAAAAAAGTCAAATAATATAAATATTGCAGGAATTGGTGAGACAGAGTTCCTTGATCTTTCGAACATCTCACACAGAGGGATGAGTGAAGAGCAATGTGTGTACAACTTTGACTTGTATCAAAGCACGCCAAGCATCTACTGAGCTACTGTAAATATTTTCATTACAGGTTTCCTACACTTCATCTGTAATCTCAGTACCCAAATCTTCCTGCTAGTTGTCCTTAAATGGTTTTGATGATGGGCATTTTAACTTTTGTATAATGTTGTAAAAATGAGACACATGACCTTCAGTACTCTGTGGGTGTTTCTCTGGGAATGTGGACCCATCAGATCAGTCTGAGAACATATGGTTTTCATGTTCCACATTTTAGAGTGTGACATGCAGTACAGGATTTGCATATGCTCGCCATGGTCTGGTCTTGATTTTGAGTTGGTCTCGCCCCTCTTTGGTCATGGTCATGATTGCAATGCTGGTGGAGGGAATAAAGACAAACTTTGGAGGATACAGCCTTGATTTGTCTAACTCTACAAAACTTCTCCGTAGATTTATGCTCCCATCTCTTACAGCAGGTGGTGTGGTGAAGGGTATACCTACCTCATTTTCTGTCCATTTACAGTTTACCTGCCTATTAGCCAAATAGCCATTGGAATATACACTTACCGGCTACTTTATTAGGTACACCTTGCTAGTGCCAGGTTGGACCCCTTTTGCATTCAGAACTGCCCTAATTCTTGGTGTCATAGATTCAACAAGGTGCTGGAAACATTCCTGAGATTTGGGTCCATATTGACATGATAGCATCACACAGTTGCTGCAGATTTGTCAGCTGCACATCCATGATGAGAATCTCCCGTTCCACCACATCCCAAAGGTGCTCTATTGGATTGAGATCTGGTGACTGTGGAGGCCATTGGAGTACAGTGAACTCATTGTCATGTTCAAGAAACCAGTTTGAGATGATCTGAGCTTTGTGACATGGTGCGTTATCCTGCTGGAAGTAGCCATCAGAAGATGGGTACACTGTGGTCATAAAGGGATGGACATGGTCAGCAACAATACTCAGGTAGGCTGTGGTGTTTAAACCATGCTCAGTTGGTACTAAGGGGCCCAAAGTGTGCCAAGAAAATATCCCCCACACCATTACACCACCACCACCAGCCTGAACCGTTGATACAAGGCAGGATGGATCCATGCTTTCATGTTGTTTACACCAAATTCTGACCCTACCATCTGAATGTTGCAGCAGAAATCCAGACTCATCAGACCAGGCAACGTTTTTCCAATCTTCTCTTGTCCAGTTTTGGTGAGACATGGTCAAGACGACCTGCTGAAGTTCAAACTGAGCATCAGAATGGGGAAGAAATGGATTTAAGTGTCTTTGAACGTGCCATGGTTGTTGGTGTCAGACGGGCTGGTCTGAGTATTTCAGACACTGCTGATCTACTGGGATTTTCACACACAACCATCTCTAGGGTTTACAGAGGATGGTCCCAAAAAGAGACAATATCCAGTGATGCCAGAGGTCAGAGGAGAATGGCCAGACTGGTTCAAGATGATAGAAAGGCAACAGTAACTCAAATCCCATGCCTTAAAGCACTGAGTTGCTGCCACATGATTGGCAAATTAGCTATTTGTGTTAATCAGTTGAACAGGTGTACCTAATAAAGTGGCCAGTGAGTGTATCTGAGAGTATATCCAGGCCCAATCCCAAACCGGCCCCTATCCTCTCGCCCTATTCACTCCCCCTCCGTTTGCGCGGTCACGCGGAGCTCCGCCATATTAAGGGCCGTCCCAAACCAATTATCGCTGAGTGCGAGTGGACTGCTCAGCCCTTAGATAGCTGGTGTGCATCAGTGCAGGCTTCTGATGAGCCTAGCAGGAAGCGCAACATCACAATGGAGGAAACAACGTACAAATGTAAGAGTTCCGTCTTTCTACTTTGTAAAATATTTTAGATCAAACACACACATTTGTTTTCCTCACACTGACTTTACAGTCTCAAACAAACTCACAGAATGTTTGGTGTCAAAAGATGAAAACCTACATGTCCATATGCTTAAATGAACTATTTAAAACTGTCTAAAAAATTCCTCATCCCATTCTCATGATTTTTTAAAAATATATAAATATATATATATATAGAAAAAACAAAGCAGTTAATCGATCTACGGATTAAAAATGAGTCTCTTTACTAAAAAAAGGAATGCTGCAAAGCAGGGATGGAGGTAAGATTGCCCAGATTAATTAATAAAGTTCATCTGTGAATGTGTAAACTGTGTCTATAAAATATGAACAAGTTAATTACTTTGATTACACTGCACTGTATCTCTTATCTGACTTATTAAAGTTTTTTTTTTTAATTTAACTCATTTTAATTAATATTTAAATGTTTTTTTTAATAGCCCGTTGCTCTATTTTGCTTTCACAAAGCATCTGTCTGTATCCATGGTTACATCTGCTTCCTTATTCAGGTAGAGTGGCAAGAGCGTCCCATGGTTTGGCTTCTCTTTCATACACTTCCCCTTAATCAGGAGTGCCCTCCGCAGCTGCGAGTGTAACTTGATTTGGAGTGACACTCGGTAGTGAAGTGGTAGTGGGTAGGGAGTGGTTTGGGATTGGGCCCCACTCTCTCCTCCTCCTGAGTAAAGTTGTCCTGTAATGTGCCACTAGAGAGCAGTGTTGCACCAGTCATGATTTCAGCCACATGTTTCTGAGCGGCCTGCACCTGTTGCTGAGCCTGTGTGCTGACACAAGCAGCAGCGATCTCAGCTGGTATCACTTTAGTATTGATTGATGTCTTTTATTACACATTTTTGTGACAGAGAATGGCATCGACATTTGTTCCAAAGTTTCACACTTTAGATGGGGGGGGGAAATAATTGGGCTCGATCAAGATCAATCGTATGGCTCTCTTGTGTAATGTATAGCAGAGTGGATATTCAAGGACATTCATTTTTCACATCCGAGCCTCTCAGCTGCTGCGTCACTAAGCTGCATACAAATCAGCCGTGCCTGAACAATTGGCAGTGTGTGTACATTCGATTATAAAGCTTTTTACAAAGCGAAATATTGTATAAGAGGCAAATCAGATTCGTTTGACAGCCGGCTGCGAAAACAAGCCACAAAAGGGAAATAAATAAATGTATAACTATTGGGATTATGACAGGAGATGCTCTCGTTCTCATGCGTTAAAAATATATATGAGGAATTAAAATGTTCCTTCACGCTTTATCGATTCTATTATTTATTGTTTTGGAGCAGTTATTTAAATGTCACTTTAACAGTGAAATAAAGGTAATCCATCAAGAACACAGCCGTCATTCATTCATGTATTCATGTGTGAGAGTATATCTGGTGTCAGTGTTAAATATAGTTGGATAAGAGTGTCACTCCTGTATGCAGTGCACTGGTTTCGCTTTGAGTAATT